CTGCCTTCCCTCTAGTCTTACACTGCTAAATTAGGGACGGCTAGCGCAGATAGCCTTCGTGTAGCTTTGCGCGAAATTCAAAACAAATCAATTTACTTGGACTTGTATTCCATTATTTATATATAGCTAAAAAAGTAACATGCGTAGGAAGCTTTTTAAACATCACTAAACTATGCAAACATGAAAGTAGGAGTAGGGAAGTATAAAAAAATCACCATGTGTGCGTGGGCAGCTTTTTAAACTTCACTAAACTATGCAAACATGAAAGTAGGAGTAGGGAAGTATAAAAAAATCCCCATGTGTGCGTGGGCAGCTTTTTAAACTTCACTAAACTATGCAAACATGAAAGTAGGAGTAGGGAAGTATAAAAAAATCCCCATGTGCTTTTTAAACTTCATAAGTTATGCGAAAATGAAGTTAAGTGTAAGAAAGTACGTCACCATGTGTGTAAAGGAGGGGTAGATGTAGGTAGTACAACACATTGGGGGAAAGGTATTGGTGGAATGGACCTGTCATCACTCAGAGCCCCAGTGTTGATGTGTTAAGGTTTTGTTTGGGAATTTCTTCATTCATTTATAGATACTTAGTATAGCGGCATACTGTCACCCTATTGGGTAGGGATCACCCTGTTAATTAGGGACATGGGAACAATATCATTGCGTTTTAATACTTGCCCCCCATAGCCAGTTTTTGAAAGTGACGCCAGATCTTGTATCTATTACTAGATAAGTCGATCGGTTTGTCATTTTTTTTTATAAGACTATTTGGTTCTAAGTGACTTTTGTACTAGAGGTGTTTGGTGGGTGTCACGTCTTGTTGGAATAAGTCTAATAACGCACTTAGGTTTAACTTCGCAGTCACTGAGGCGCCATGTGCGATAATCAGACTCGTTCAGAACTCTACGTACCTAACCTCCTACATAGCACTGCCCTTATATTTTATAAACTTTGTGCATTCAAATATAAAATACCTCAACGAAAAAAAAAATTATCGTACGCCAAGCACGAATCTGCCTTACTTGAATATAGAAACTGTCGTGCATAACAGTTACGGTAAATACGATCACTAATTTTTGTACTACGAATTCATGTTTATTATCAGTTCGTATATCATTTTCACCGGGGTTAAGGAAAAGAACGGCATTGGTTGTCATGGCAACAGTATCCGTTTTAACTGAAATACACTTATCCTTGGCGAATACTTACGATGCGACAACACCGGGGAGTACTCCAGTACATTATTAAAGGCCTCTATAATTCGTCATTTAAACGTTAACCAGACTATTACTGGGTAGACAGACTGTCAGATAATATGTATGGTATTAAAATCCTCCAGTTTTAAAAAAGTATACACAACTCCCTAACGTTCTAAAGCTGCCTTGCGTGTTTATGTGAGATAGGGTACCAACCACAAGAATGTATCCTTTTTAGACAGGTTGTTTACTCTATCTGGGAGAATGTGTATAAAAAATGTTGACTGCGTTAACTAAAAACGATTATGGAGCCTCATTCTATCATATTCTATCCAACGACTGTGCATCTTGACAATAATCTTTCAGTGTAGTTTCCATTGCTAAAGGCTTCGAATTACGACTGTTATGTCTAAAGCACATCATTCCTTCCTGCTTACTTTCTATAAGCCGCTTATTATACGAAGAAACTGTTTCCCAGTGCAGTTTCAACAGTCCAAATGCACAGAAATCCATGGGTGTTGCACACAGTGACTTGACCAGTATGTCTTTGTGTGGAATAGTGTGAATGCCTATTTCATTCTTCAAGTACTTGGAGTATGCAACGGTTGAACGATTATGTCGTGGAAGAAACTTATGTACACGGGAGTTGTGTTGGTTTTCCAGACGGAGATCCTTTTGATTATATTACATACTGTTGCCTGGAGCATGTGGACGACTTTTGCCACTGACCTTTGTGTTCATGGATTCTAACCCTTTACAAGACGCTACATTTTGCTTACCATGCTTGGTGTGACTCGTTCAAGTTTTCTTTGTGGATGGTTCTCTAAGTTGATCCATATTCCTTGGATTCCAATTGCTGTTAAGTACAAGAGATATCACAGTCTAAGTTCTAAATTCCGATCTAAACACATCTTTATGATCTGAGTGTGTGACTATTCTTCGTCGGAAAGGGCTGTTACATACCTTTTCCAAAATCAATCAATTTTAGGTGTGTCGTCACATCACCTACGAAACGTCGAACAATTCCGTTCAGCCGCCATTTTACATGGGCCGTGTTTATTACGCGACTTTCTGATTTACGTACTGAAAAGCGTACTCAACTCTATGTTCACAAATATCTACACGAACATGTTCTTTTCGTTGGGTTAAAATTCACAAATGTTGCTTTTTATTTAATTGTAGGATGTATTGTCGTGAGATAGTTTTGTTGTTGTTGTATTTAAAATATAGTAAGTGGAATGTATGATAAGTTCACTGTATGCCAGTGTATTGTGGTTAAACTTGATGTATTTGTTTCTAATAGAAAGACAAAATTCCGTCATTTTTATATGGTAAATAATGTTCAGTTTTAACTTTTCCACGCCCACGGGACATATATGTCCCGTCCTTTCGCAAATTAAGAGCGAAAAGTTTGACTAGTTTTAAATTTCGCGCAAAGCCACTCGAGGGCTATCTACTCTAGTCGTCCCTAATTTAGCAGTGATAGACTAGAGGGAAGGCAGCTAGTCAACACCACCCACCGCCAACTCTTGAGCTACTCTTTTACCAACGAATGGTGGGATTGACCGTCACGTTATAACGCCCCCACAGCTGAAAAGGCAAGCATGTTCGATGACGGGGATTCGAAACCGCGACCCGCAATGTGCGAGTCGAGCGCTCTAACTACCAGGTATGGTGGTGAAAGGGTTAGCATCCTTTTATACCACTTTTGAAGGAAATGAATAAGATACGTGCGTACTGATGTGCTCTTTTATGGTAAACAGCTGTGTTTTAGCACAAATTTATATAATGGGCTGTCTGTGCTCTGTTCACCGAGATGAATCCAACCCCGAATTTTAGCGTTGCAAGTCCGTAAACATACCGCTGGTCCACAAGAGGACAAAACAAATAAAACTTTAACTTCTCTGTTTTTGTATCAAAATGTGTTACAACGAAACATCTGCTAGTGGATAATTACGAAACAACTTACTTCACTTTTGTTAAAATTAAGATATGAAAAAGAGAAGAAAAATACTCCTTCGGGGTTTGAAAGTATTTCTAAACTTCGTTTCGTGACTGAAATCAATCACTTGAAGTTTCCTTAATCTCATAAAAGTTAAGTTTATGTTTTTAATCACTTGAAGTTTTCTTAATCTCATAAAAATTAAGTTTATGTTTTTTCCCGTTTCTAAAAGATAAGCCCCCCCCCCCCAGGTCTGACAGCGGTAAATCTACGGATTTACAACGCCAAAATCAGGGATTCGATTCCGCTCGATGGACGCAGCAGATAGCTTGATGTGGCTTTGCTATGAAACACCCACTAAATTATAAAAGTGTCGAAACCTGAGGGTTAGTTTTAGTATGTGAGAAAGGCATTGAGCCGATACTCCAGCAAAAACCATTTTTGATGTAACACGGTAAAGTTTTAAGTTTACGATACCTCTTACTAAAGATATACAGTCGCTTTATTACTATAAATGGCTGGTGTAAACAAAATGTGAGGCTAAAAGACTTTCTAAGCACACAGAACTGTTAGTGTAAAACGATAATAGTCTCCCGCTAGCTCAGAGGTAATTCTTTAGGCTTATGACGCTGAAACTCGGATTTCGATACCCGTAGAGGGCAGAACACGGATAGCCCATTATGTAGCTTTGCGCTTAACGACAACTAAACCAAACGATAAAATTAATTGAACGTGGCAACTTGGAAAATTAGAAAATGAATATTAACAAAGAACAAACTGTAACATTTATGGAAAAATATATTTCAAATATACTTACTTTCTCCAGTCATAACAGCCTGTGTGTACCGGGAAGGCAACATGCTGGTGTAACCATAGAAACTGGACTGCTGCACTAAATAAAAATGACTCACATAAGTGTAACCATAGAAATTGGTCTGCTGCACTAAATAAAAATGTCTCACATAAGTGTAACCATAAAAACTGGACCGCTGCACTAAATAAAAATGTCTCGCATAAGTGTAACCATAGAAACTGGACCGCTGCACTAAATAAAAATGTCTCGCATAAGTGTAACCATAGAAACTGGACTACTGCACTAAATAAAAATGTCTCACATAAGTGTAACCATAGAAATTGGACTACTGCACTAAATACAAATGTCTCACATGAATATATAAGGAACTAATTTGTAAGTTTTGAAACGTAAGTACCTTCTAGAACAAAAAATCGCATTTAAAAAACTAACAATCTATCATCAAGAAATGCGTGCATTAAATTAGTTTTAAAAAAATGCACTATTGTTTTCATACTACTCTTACTACTTCTACACAGCTAAAGTATGTATATATATATATATCAAATGAAAGCTCAGAGTTTCCTACATATGTGAATGTATGTGTGTTTGTATTAAGTTTGAATATTCAAAATCAGTTGTGACAATATACTTGTTCTTTATTGGTAATTAAGCATTAAGTAATTTGCTGTACACTTAACTACACAACAGCAGGTAAGAGCAAGCCTGTAGTCATTAAATCCAATATCATATTGTCACAACTAATCAGGTCTACTTTAAACTGTATTGTCACAGTTATATCTCAGCTATATCAGAAACACACGTCCTTTTTTATAAACGTGTTTGTTCATAAATTTCAGTCAAAATTAAAATTGTGCGAATTGCAATTCTTTCAGAAACTTAAAATCGGAACCCAGAACAAAGAAATTGTAATTTTAGAAACATTTCTCGATAAAGTTAATTCAATTCCAAATGTACGTGTTCTTAAGAATAATATAATGATTGCAGCGAACATTCCGCATAATGGGTTTGTGTATTATACTACACTGATCTTGAACAGGCCTCTGTGATTTGATATTTAAAAGCAAGAGTACCTTAATATAATATATTAAATACTTACACGCTATAAATATACAAGAAAAACGTATCGGAAGGTGAAAGTTAAAATATTATTTATTTAATTGACAGTGTATCTATATCATTTTCATTTTTCTATTATGTGTTGAAATTTTCGACTTACCAGTGCAACCAAAAGCAACCACTGCCACGGCAAGAAGGTTAATATGATACCCAGTTGTATGGGTAAAACTTTCGAACCAGATCTCAAAAACAGCCACGAACAGCAAGGTGAAGAACGAAATGATGTAGCCAAAGGTAATCCTGACATTCAAGGTTAAAGTCTCCACTAGGAGGTTGTTGATTACCACGGCAACAAAAGCCACGAGAATGTAAACTAAGCTCATGTCAAAGACAATGGTCGTCCCTGGATAGCGAGCCTGAAAGTAGTCTACAGCAATGATGAAACTATTGTAAGGAAGTAGAAACCCGACTCCGGCCAGGAGCAACGCCAGGTAGATACAATGACAGCGATCTTCTGGAGGCTTGGAGTGGCCTGTTTCACTGAGACGTCGGAGAAGACGGTCAGTTTTGAAAGATTTTCCTAACTGTATGTAACCCCTGCTGATGTTCTCATCCATGGCGAATCTGTTAAACTTCTTGTTTCCCGGCGGCGGTTTCACACTTTATCACAGTCACAAGGAAAATCTGAAGCAAAGTATCTTACACTACACTTTTCGGCTATAACGTAGAACTATAAATTCGCTTATTTTTAGCTTTATTCGGGGATTTCACCATGGCTTTCAGACGTGATACAAGGTGAGTTGCTCAGAGTGAAGGTAATCGAACGATACAGTTGACAAAATCATATGTTTACCTTTCCTTCCATAGTCAGTAATGAGCAATTTAACATATGAATCTTCAGATTTGTTCTATTTTTTTCTTTTTCTAGCGTTATCGAAGCATTAGCTTATCGTGCTGATCGCACAAGGAAGCTGAACTTATAAATGAGTTAAGTCGTTACGTCAGCCTTCTCGTAGTCGCCATCATCAAATGCTGATGTCACACAACTTTTCCAGCGTCTTAACGCTGCCTGTAGGTAAAGACTAACACTTCTTATCTTCTGAATTAAACTTAAACTTTAATTTAACAATAACATGGTTTAAGATATCGTTTATTCCGTTAGGGTTAGAGCTCGGGAATTCGCTATCAGTAACTGATCAAAGGATCATAGGTACTTCACTATTTATTGTAACACGAGAACCTTGGTGGCGCCATGATGAAACGGGAACAATAACGACAGATCGATCGATTAGGCAAGAGCACTGCCAGAAGAAACGTGCAGCCACGGACTGATTACGTAGCTGTGACGAGAAATAAAACATTTCATGCTGCCAGTGGTAAAATCGCCATGGCAAAGTATCAAAAATCAGTCCATTTTCTATCAATTTATTTCAAGTACATTGTTTAATTACAATATACATACTTATATTACATATTTGTTCATGTTAACATCTCCAATTCAGATAAAATCGCCGAGTGTTGTCACATGTATATGAAGTTTAATGTCAGGAGTCAAATACAAGTTAAGTAAACCAGTTACTTCGTAATAGGACGATGATATTAGTCTCCCTTATTCCGAAACAGATAAACATACCATTTGATATTATTGTGCACTTTTAAATGGCGTTGTTAAAACAATTTAGAATAATTTGTATAAACAAATTTCATCTTATTTTAACTTTCGGTAGTTTTCACCAAAGAGCAGTCATTTCAATTACTTTGTTTGAATTATAACAACACTAGAAGATATTTTTATATTGTTACGTCTCTGGTCGTTGGTTAATTTTCCGTAGAAATTCTTTCCGAAAAACTTCAGCGATACAAGTCCTTTATTAAATAAAACTAGTTTATTTTTTCTCAATACAACTTTGCAATACACTAAATTTCCACAGTCACTTTAACTTAAACACACGCTATAATTCACAACGAACGCTTCACGCACTTTACTTACTACCGCGCTTGACTCAATTGTCCGTCTCTATATCTGCCTGTCTGCAATTCAATTATCTATCACGTCACTTCTCGCCGGTCTTATATATACAAAATAGAGGGCGTCTGGCAAACACTCGAGCCTTCAGGAACGTTCGAGATACTCATTACGTGTTATCAGCGTCACGTGACTTCCGCTGTCGTAACAATATGTTTGTAGTTTTTCGTCGGTTGTTACGATTCTCTTCTTCCAATATAAAGTTCATCTAAGTTCTAATTATTTAAATTTCATAGCTCATTGATGTCTGTTTCTGTGTGTGTTTTTATAATAAAGCCACATCGAGCTATCTGCTGTGTCCACCGAGGAGAACGAATTCCTGATTTTAGCGTTGTAAATCCATAGACTTATCGTTGTCCCACCATTGATGTCTTCAGCAAGACATGGTGGACATTTTATGTTTATCTTTCTCCGAATAGAATTTCCCTATACAAATATTTTCTGTGCTTAGTTACTTATAGAACGAAAAAGAAACACCTCGTTTGGTTAATTTACAAAAATAGGTAACTGATAACTTTAGAATTGTAAGGAAAGGAAATTTTGTAAAATATTGATATATACACACCTCGAAAAAAGTTAAGCACCCCCGTGTTTTTTTCAAGTGATTCAGATTC